TATTTTAGTCTGATTCACAGTAAAAGAATCTTACCTGCACTTTCTATAGTTAAGTGGAAAAATAACAGATCTAATTAAATTAATAAAAATAAATAATATAATATAATATACACAAATGAAATAATTAAATGAGACTATCGCTATGGGCTGGGATATGACAATATGGCACACATTGATAACGTCACGAAGTAACCAAGCAACAACGGATATGACGTTTACACAAACAAAAACAATCACTATCCTAAACGTATAATATAGCTTTTCATCTAAATTACGTCTTTTCCCGACAGTTTAAGGCGCACCACCTGATTTTACTCAGGCTAACGTACCAAATTTAGACAAAATCTATTTCTAAGGGCAATCTAAACATATACTAATAAGAAAAATGGCACTTAGCTTCGATAAGAAAGATCCCTATGCTCGGATTCCTGGATATGATAGATCTACAGCAAATTCCACTGCCTCTCTTCCAGTTCTGACTCTGTTATCCGGTGCTGCCAGTGGATACAATCCGTGTCGAGTATCCCACGTAATGCCCCAGATGTCTTGATATGCCACAGCAAAATGTTTCAGTTTCTTAGACGACTGTTGATGACCATATGTGTAGTTCCGACGACTTTGTGTAAACAGTTACTGACGAATAGGTTAACGGTTCTCCTGGCGACGACTTAATTTGCGTAGACGACTACTGACAAATAAGTCTCTTGACGGCAACTTGATCTGGGCGACAAAGAATCTCTCTAAGGGTAAGACAGAGCGATTTAGTTAGCTAACAAACTTGTAGTACTCACAATACTTCTGACAGTGGGCAAACTGTCCTTCTCAACTGCCGAGGTAAAACTTGATATGACTATGTGGCTCCTACGACTGTTTTCGCAAGCGAAGAAAAAATATGTTCAACAGGTTTACTGACAATCTCTCACCCGTTATGAATGAACGGTTCCTTTGGCTTTAGGTCGATTCAGCATACGAAGATCAGGCGTTGATAATATAATTGTTGACCAGACGTTGAGATGATTACTGTCCTGACGAAGGTCATCCTGGGTTAACGGCTGGTTGAGCGTACGATCGAACAGGCGACGACTGCATGTAGAACTTAAAACATAGCCTAAACAAAGTCACTCTGCGATGATGCTGTGTTCAGCCGTACTCCGATGAAACTTTATATCTTCGAGTGCACGACTCTCACCTGAGCAAACGTTCAGCTTCGAGGTCCGGTTCAAGGTTCGGCTTCGAGGTTCGGGGTCGCCACTGTGATGTACTTGTTCAGGCTGTCTTGAGGTCAACTATAGATGACTGTTGAATTTCAACCAATTACTCTTCAAACGTTTGAGTTTTATTGTTCGGGTGTATTCAATGTAGTTGATCAACAATACAGAATAAACAAGACGATCGATTTAACGAGTAAAGAGATATAGTCAACTCTGAAGAACAGTTCATACTATATTTACTCTAATAAAAGGCCACAGTAAAAGTCTCTGTCAACTAAACACATCTTTACCCTAGAGGATTCTATCGCCAACTCATTTTCCGGTCTCTAACCCAAAATATCCCAAACGTCACTAGTCCCGTTCAATAGACGTCTTCTATGGTGCGTCGCTAAATAACTAATCTATAAACAAGGTGTCTAACAATGTACTAATTCCCAAAAGCATGCGCTCATAGATGAAGGAGAAGTTACATGTCTCCCACCTAGTATACAGCAGCATGATGAGGCGGGTGAGGGCTCTGATATTCTGGCCAGGAATGGCTGCAGAAATCAAACAGATGTTCGACTCATGCACTGCGTGCCAAGAGAATAAGCCAAGCAATCAAAGAAAAATGATATGGCCACATTATGAAAGAAAGAGACATTTGGAAAAGGTTGGAACAGACTTAATAGAAATCCAAGGGAGAACATACTTGATCACAGTTGATTGCTTCTCACGAATTCACTATATTCACTTACAGATGGAACATATTGCACATCAGGTCCAATCCTGGACACCCCAAAGCCAACGGAAAAGCTGAGGCTGCAGTTAAAACAATTAAAAACATGATGAGGAAGACTATCAGAACTGGAGATGATCAATACAAAGCCCCGCTGGAACTTCACAGCACACCCAAACAGGACTGTGGCTATAGTCCAGCCCAGATGTGTTTGAACAGAATGCCACGGTCACTACTACCGCTAAATAAACCCCATGCACCAGAAAGCTACACAGAAGGCCTGGGCGTGAAAGCCTGTCACAGGTAAATAATTTTAAAAAAACACTATGATAAAAGAGCACTAGACCTACCTGGACTGAATGTGGACTAAAACATTTACTTTCAGAATCCAGGAAACAAAGATTGGTGTCCTGGCAAAATCATTATGAGAAACAGTGAGCGGTCCTACACAGCTAAGGGAATGGAGGGCGGTATTTACGTTAGGAAAAGAGTGCACCTCCAGCCCAGAAATGTCCCTTACTCAGACATTTTTTCAGATGACGAAGCGCTAACCAATAAGGCACCACGGAATGTCTCATCCACAGACATAACACCACAACCTGCCTTAGTGTCCAGCGCCAGCCCTCATGGAGCAGAGCCTATTGTAAGAAGGAGTGGGTGAACGAGAGCCACCCCTATGTGACACAAGGACTATGACATGGGCAAGTGGTGACAACCCCTCAGTTTTTTTTTTTGCTTCATCTTTATAGACTTTATATATATATATGTTTATAGACTTTATATATATATATTTATAGTTTTCAATATTCATGTATATTATGTTATACTTATATTATATGTTATACCTATATTTATGATTTTGTTTACATGAAAATGTTGTCTGTTGAAAACGTTATCTACGTACATGGTATCGGGTCAGTGTATGTGAATAGGTTATTGTCAATATGTATCTCAGTTCGTGTTGAAAGAACAATGTTTCTGCCATGTGTTTGTATTAGAATGTTGTAGTGAACATGTTTCGTCGATAGAAAGGGAAGGATGTTAATACTTGTTATATTTGAGTTATAGTTCTTAGTCATTGTAAATTATGTGTCCTTTGTTATGAACAAGTAGTTCTGCCAAGATGGTGTCATACGATGAATGAATAAAAGTGTACGGCCCAACTTCTACATTAGTTGCCTTGATACTTTAATACTAATTAACACTCTTACCATTCACAAGGTTTAATTATTTTAAAAAAAAAAATACTGGACTTTTTTCCTATTTAAGGATTGAATGAAATATTGCTAGATATTTTGTCACCGTAAACCATTCTATTAAGTAAAGTTCCTTTTTTAGATTTATATGGCAGATTATGTTATGGTCATCTGTTTCTTTGGCCAACGGTTAACTAGCAGGGTGTCATGTGGCCAGCACAATGACCACCTGCATTTATTTTCCCTAAAGTCCCTTTAGAGTTGGGTGGACTCAGGTTGCCCTAAAAATTGTGAAATTCAAAATCCCAGTCTTCACTAGTTCGAACTCAGGACCCCAGGTTTGGAAGCCAAGCACTTTACAACTCAGTCACCTGATCCCACCATTCTATAAGAGGTTTGAAAAGAGCTTTCAATGTGCAAACATTTACCTAACATGCACCCTTAGGCATAGGAGTGCAACAAATAATTTGAAAATCCTGTAGAGAAATTATGAAAAATTTAAGAGATAATCATCCTTATCATAGTCCTTGAACAGCTGGAAATCAGACTTAGAATCAGAAAAATCTTTCATTGAGTCATTAAAAAAATATTTAATTGTGTTTTATTTTCACAAAAGTGTCTTTTTTTTTTTTCTACTCATCAGTGTTTAGCATTTTCTGATGTTAATCCACAAGCACCATCTCATTTTCTTGTGATTCCCAAGAAAGTCATTCCAACACTGAGCCAAGCCACAGACAATGATCAACTAGTAAGTTATAAATACTTAATAATGCATTCAAAATCACTGTAGTATTTTATTTGCAGCTCTGCAGCTCCCTGTTCTGTTGAAAAACTTTATAACTTTGCTTTGATAAACTTTAATCATTATACTATATTTAATAATTTACATACTACAACAAATGTCAGATTTTTTTAACAAGAAAACAAGAAATAAAAACATTGAAACTTCTGTACAAAAGAGACAAGGGCATCTGGTAACTAAATCCATCACTATGATTAGCTTAGGAATACTAATTATTCTGTTGGGTAACTTTTCTTTACCTTTGTGTGTGTTATAAATCTCTTGATATAACCTCTTTCCACTTGGTTGCTGGTTTGTGTATAGAAAGGCTCTAATCTTCCTACTGTTTAAATTGGAATTGTATGTATGTATAATGGTGAGTCTATAAAAGTTCCACACATAAGGAATATTTAAAATCAAGCTGGTAATGAAATCAGAGTCTGAGAATTTAGAAAGCTGATCATTTTGCACTTTCCAACTTGAATACATGCAAGTGAAACGTTCTAAAGGCAATGAAATATAAAAATTGCTATTTATTGTTTCCTTATTATTGGTTACAAATAATAATAATTATATTGTGGTTTTACTTTTTATTCTTGTAACATTCAAAATTCTATTCTAGTTACTAGGACATTTACTGCTTGTTGCCAAGAATGTTGCTGAACAACAGAAACTTGAGAAAGGCTTCAGATTGGGTGAGTTGAGCTACCCTAATTACCTTTCCTTGATGCTAGTTTTAGAACAAGTTTTGACGGGCCTTTCTTTTTAAAAGAAGTAGATCTAGAGTTGCAGTACTGTGACTTATTTTGATTTTATTTTACCCTCAGTTATCAACAATGGACCTGATGGTGCACAGTCTGTCTATCACTTACATATACATGTGTTAGGTGGACGTCAGATGGGATGGCCTCCTGGATAAGACACTTCATCCAAAGTTTACAATGTCTATGTCCTAATTAATATTTCTAAAATGTATGGGTCTACTTGTGATAAAATATGTTTTTGTACTCATTACATGTGAACATTTGAGAAATCCTATGCAGAGAAATGCTCAGTAACCAATGACATTAGGTTCTGGTTCAATGTTACTGCAACACCAAAAGCTATTTTATATGGTCTAATTTTTTTTCTCTTTCCTATATCCTGTACACAACATGGTGAAATAAAGATTGAATAATTGTAATCAAATTATGTTCTTATTCACACATTAATATGCATAACTAAATGCATGACCCGTAGGACGTAATCACCTTCTTTTTTGAAGTAACGTCTGTATCATATAAGATAAGTTAACACAAGTAACATTAATTTATCTTCATGTCTGTAGTCCTATTCTAAAAAGTATCACCCAAAAATACAATTAATGAAATAATTCTTTGCAAATGATATAATTTATTCATTTCATGGGTCAAAGTTCTAAAAAGCAAAAAATTCACATTTCGAATGTTTTCCTTGCATAACTTTCATAGCAGTGAAGGAAAAAAAACAACAAAGGTACAAAACAATTTTACATTTAAGAAGCATTCATTGCATGCCAAGAACTTTATGCAACACCTGGATGCTTTGACATATAAATGATTCCCTTTCCTAATCACATTTAAGTAATAATTATAACTGGACTAATGTGTGCATAGAGATGATCAAAACAATTACAATATGCCTTAAGACTGAAAGTAAGACTTTAATACCAGTTTAGGGAAATAAACATTTCACTATGTTGTGTTCATAACATTAGCCCACTAATGTCAATATTTTATATAATAATTATTATAACTGCTCTTTACAATTCATAATTCACATATATGCCAGCATGGCGTGTCTCTTGATAGACCTACAGCTCAAGCTAATTACTACAGATAAGGAGAAAACAGTTTATATGTTGACCAAAGCATTTCAAACTGTGGAGTCAAGTAACATACACGCAAAAGTTTCATATTAAAAGATTAGCTCTTAATATACAGACAGTATAAAGGCTTGACAGTGTTCACAACAAATAGTCAATATTTCATAAACACATATATTTAACAATGTAGTAACACATTTGAATCAAGTTGGGAAAACAAAAATATTAACACCTATGTATTTATTTGTAGCAATGATAAAATGAAAGAAAAAAAATTAAATTAAAAAAACAAATATAACCTTGTGTATGTAGGTTTCTTTTTTTTTTTTTTTTTTTTTTTTGGAAGCCAAGACAAAAGATCTTTTAAGGACTTAATTATTAAAAACTGCAGGCTGTTTCTTCAATACTATTTTTTCATTACAAAAATTATCAGATTTCATTATAAAAAACTGAATTCTACACAAAACTGACTGACACATAAAAAAACAAAAGCAGCATAAATAAAAACATTAGGAAGGGAAAAAGACCATCTATAATACTCTTTGTACTTGGCCCATGTATAGATAGTAAACACACACCCACAGGTACTTTTTTAAAAGAGTATAGGTGAATGTAATAATGACTTACTATTCAATAAATTTTTACATGATAGCAATGAGCACACATAAGATTCAGTTTAATGGCATTTCACAGCATATGACTATACATCATTAAAAACAATATTCACAGAGGAAAAACAGATGATCTTCCTCCTTCTCAGCTAGTAATTAAATAAGCAGAACAATACAGGTGAGATAATAGCACTGAAGATCAGTAGTGGATAAGAAAACTAAGAACACACCCTCACAAACGCAACAAGAGAAATTCAGACAAACAAATGTAACAGTCAAGTTGAACATCTAAGAGCACATTGCAGAAAAAGTTTATTGTGTTGAGTTCACATGACCTAGGCTTTTTTTTTTAAACAGTTAATGGGGCTGTAAAATGTTCAATATTCTTTACATGTCAAGCAACAACTGAAACCCTCTAATTGTGGTTAGCACCCAGTCCTTCAATCAATGACAAATTACACTGAAGAACCAGTTGATGACAGAAATAGATCACAAAATAGACTTGTTTTAAGCTGTGTTTTCTTCTTCCTCACTCTCATTTTTATGTTGGAGCGTTCAGATGACTAGACCAGTATGTGAGATGAACTGTGTAGTGGTTTCCAAATCAGGGAGCTCTCCATATAGTTTTCTTTCTATTGGGGTGTTTTGGGGCCAGTGTCTTGTATGGTCCCCTTGGTAGAGAGTGCAGTCCTGAAGTACATGGTCAGCATTCTCTTGTGACACTCCACACGGGCAGATTTCATTGGTTCGAATTTTTAGCTTTTGGTACATAGGTTGTCTCATTCCGTTATGTCCGGTCCTAAGTCGAATAGACGTTGGTCTTGTCGGGATAGCTTATAACAAGCTGTATAGTTATTCTTTTATTTAAAATTCCACTTGTTTGCTTAGCGTTTCATTAAAGTTAGCCTTCATCGAGAATTTTATATAATTTTTAAAGGGCAAGGTCAAATATTTGTAGAGCGGGCTGAACAGAGAACAGTCGTTACACAAGGCTTGAATACTGACTTGCGATGTAGCAACGAGCTACAGGCCTAAACTGCCCTCAGGTTGCAACATCGCAAGACACTGTTCAGTCCTTCTATAATGATTGGTTTCAGACCCATGTACACTGGATGGAAGAAACAAACATGCAGACTACCAAACTAAGATATGAACTTAAAAGCTTGCAACAGAACCAGCATATTTTATCAGTATCTCCTGCATCACATTCATAGACAAAAAAAAGAGTTAACACTGTTGGTATAGAGCAGGGGCGGACTGGGTATCAAAATCGGCCCGGGCATTACCAAATAAACCGGCCCACAAATGGCATGTCATATATTTTCGGTGGGAGTGGGGGCGATTTTTTACCCCACTCCTAATTTATATATATATATATTATATATTAGTGTGTGTGTGTATATGTAATTAATCTTCATTACATTCTGATCTTTCATTCTTTCAAACATTTTTTCTACCCTAGAATACTCTCTTCCTATAATTAGTGGAAAGACAGTACACAGCGCCAAAGGGCAGCTAGGGAGTCTGGTACATTCTCAAAAATGCAATTTGTATATGAATATACCATGACTCATTATTTAAAATATAAATCTCCTTTCATTAAATATCGGATGTGACAGTGCTATATAAATTATTGTAATTATTTTCATCGTTAATGACTTCATACTAAGTATAAGTTTGCCATTAATTATAATAGTATAAAAATTGATTTAGATCTAGATTTATTTTTTAATAAAAAAAATTTTTTGTAAGCCTTAGCCTTAAGTGTAGTATTTTTAGATAAACAAAAAGAAACCTTTTCTTTACAAATCCCAGAAAGTAGAGCTTTACACCCATATTGAGCTGTGAATAAGTTGGGTGGTTTGCAATTTCGTGGCTGTGTGTATGTGTTAAAGTTAATTTCTATTAAGTATTGTTAAAGAGCTAATTGTTGCGCCTATCTTTTTTTTTTTTGCTGTGTTATATCAATGTTTTCTAACTTAACCTCTCTCATCCCTCTTTTTGGTTAAATTTCACTGGACCATTAAAAGACGGAGGAGAAAAAAAAAATGGGAGTGCCATCAAAGGCCCATGCCTACCAGCAAAATGATTAGGCCAAACACAACCTCGAAGACGTCAAAGCAGTTCATGCCGCTCGTGCATAGCAGAAAGTACGGTCTAACGTTTTGCAAATGATAATATGTACAGTGTACAGTGTATTTTTTTATTTTTTTGTTGATATTTTTGTTGAATTTCAAACAAAATTAATTGTAATAAGAATTTAAAAAAAAAAAAAAAGAAAACGTGTTCGGACCTTTGTGTCTTGCTGCTGTCACTTATTTTTTAAGTTGTCTGCATTGAATTTTTTGTTCTTTGGTAGCGACCAGACTGGCCCATTTTGTACCGGCCCACCGGGCATTTGCCCGTTTGCCCATATAGCCAGTTCGCCCCTGGTATAGAGGCACCATATCAGACAGATACAAGACTTAATGTCTAGTTACAGCTGAGTCTAAAATATTTTATTAGGTAAATCATTAAAAGTTTTTCAAACCCTTTTTTTTTCTTACTACTAACAGATAATGGATGTAATATAGATATGAATTAAGTTATATTGATATAATGCCTAATAAATTGAAGATTTAAATTTGCACAATGCAACAACATATACATATTTGACATTGGAACTAGACATCTTGTGTAAATTTCAGTGTAACTCAGTCCCAAATGAATGATTTTCCCTTTGTATCAATACATTTCTTTAATTCATTTGTTATAGTTTGGGTATCAGTATGTTGAAAATATGTTCAAATACAAATGCATTGCATTAAAAAAGTATTGAAATTTTGAATTGCATGCCAACTCTATTGAAATTTATTTTTCAACTAGTCTGGGTGGCATGGGTGCTAGCTAAAAGTATTTACAATTTTGAAACAACTTTCACAAAAATATATAACGTGACAGCATTGAAAAAAAAAAATATTTAAAAGAAAAAAAAACTAAATTTAAATTAAACTAAATATTTTAAAATTCCATCTGCTTTTAACCTTGTTTGACTTATGCTAGAGGAGGTAATCCTGCCTTTTCTCTGCACTTCTGAATAGTAGCCCTTAGCATGAACTGCTTTCTTGACAGTTCTCTCACTCTCTAGGGATAAAATTAAAAAAAAAAAAAGAATAAGTATATTTAATAATAATAATTTTTAAAAAAGCATTAAAATCAACATAAAAGTATAGCTATGTAATGAACAGGTGTAAATAAATTAAGGAAGTCATAAATTTTATTGATGATATAAAAAAAAAAAAAAGTAAAGTTTCCCCTTTCAGACCTTGCCATCTATGGGGCAGATGATGTAAAGTTCATCTGTTTCTGTGGCCTACAGTTAACGAGGGTGTCATGTGGACAGCACACAACCAACCACCTTTACGTTTCCCCAATTAATGTCAGGTACCCATTAGAGCTGAGTGAACTCAGAGGTGCCCAAAGATCCCAAAATAAAAAATCCCATTCTTCACCAGAATTCGAACCTGGGACCCCCAGTTCAGAAGCCAAGCGCTTTACTGCTCAGCCACCATGCCTCCTGCTGATGATAGAAAGATGTGAATCTAGTCAGTAATTTTACAATAAGAAATCTGCCATTACAATAATTTTTTAAGACAGTGGGAAATAAAAGAATGATTGATTGTTTTATCATATGGGCTAGAAATGTGTATGAATATTGTTTTGTTTTTTATCATTTTTGTATTTGTATGTTAAGTTTTAGTGTTTTATGAAGCAACATTATTGCTCTCTTTTTTCTAAAATTGTTTCTAAAATTAGGTACTCTATCAAAAGAGTTAATTCTTCCACTGTTTAGTCCCAACGTCCAGAATGACTAAGAATGAGTGTTCATATTGGGCTAACCATTGACAATTTGAAAATAAAATTTAAAAAATATCTAGTTAACATATGAAATTAAAACAAAAAAGCGCTTTGCAAACAAATGCAGGAAGATGAAAAGACTTTGAGAAGCTAGGCAGCTATTATACAAATTATCACAAGTTATTACAAGTTATCAGGATAAGAAAGCTCTACAAGTCAAATATATACATGGTGGCTGAGCGGTAAAGCGCTCGGCTTCCAAATCTAAAGAGAAGTAAAGGCGGCTGGTCGTTGTGCTGGCCACATTAACCATGAGCCACAGAAACAGACAACTTATCATTAATGCCCTTTAGATTGCAAGGTCTGAAAGAGGAACTCTTTTTTACTTTTGTTTTTCTATGCTGCAGAACCTAGCCAAAAAAAAAAAAAAAGTGTAACAAAGTCTCTGAGGTTTTGAAAGATGATTCCTCAAACATTAAAAGTGATTTTCAAATACATGAAGAAGTCTGGCCTAAATGTGTGGTATAAGAGGGCAGTCTCTCTATTATTCCCAGATAAAATCTTTGAGAAGGACTCCACCTGGAAAATGAAAGATGCTCAACCTGGATAAACCTTACAGCTCTTTTTTCTTTTGGTTCTAGCATGAACTATCATTGGCAATAAAAATAGCTAACAATAAATAATAATAAGCTGTGCAATCTGCAAAAAAGTCTATCATTAAAAACAATTTAGTGCATACCTTTAAAAAGGATTCCAATTCAATAACATTCTTTCTCAATGCTTCTCCTAGATAATAAATTGCATCTTCAATGGCTTGCTCCTCTGCAAAAGCATCTACTAATCTGTCAAATCGAAAAGAAAATTCAAGACACTAGCACTTTGTGCAATATACA